GTTTGCAAAGAACATCCATGACTGACGGCAGATGGAGCCATCGCGTGTATACCACGCATGTCTGGAACTCATTTGTCACGGCGAGTCAAATGCTATATCCACATGAAAATCAGCTTGAGACCTAACACATCCTTGAAAAGCGAAATTACGGAGCACGAATGATGCCAAAAAGCTGGTCATTGTGCACATGTTACATCCGCGCAAAAACTTACCAGGCACGGCGAAGCTGCAATTTTTAGAGCCGAAAGCGTTTGCGCAACCTGGAAAGCACTGGTGCTAGGTGATCCTTGGCGTACCCTTGCCGAATGTAAAGCTCCTCTAATAACTGCAGCTGCTGGACAATCAGTTGTCTCGGTCGGGTGTGTCGACATACCAATTCTGCTCGTGAACGAAAACCACTCAGTAGAACCGACAAACTGCAGGCCGACCTTGGATGTCGGATGCTGCCTGCGGTGTTCGGCATGACCATAGTCATTGTACGAGTTCGAGGATCGCATTGGAATCCGAGAATCTTGATGTCGGCCACGTTCTCAAGCATCAATGGAGGTCCAAACCAATCCAAGCGTGTAAATGCATGATGCACATGTTCCTGAAACGTATGGCGGAACCCTAGAAGGATTCTGTTGTCCACATATCTCGCGTGTAACGCATACGGAATATGTGAAGAAAGGGGTTTCACAATTTGCTGCCACTGACTTTCTTTCAAAGCTGCAACCATACTGCAAAGCACTGGCGCAAGTTGCGAGCCCATGCTGGCTCCTTGGACTTGTTGTACAGCATGCGTCCCAACACTCAAAGCAGCAGCTTGCAACAGAAACGACACCATGTGCGGAATCTCATGAATGGCAATTAAGAAGTGACGATGAGCTTGTTTCCGGTAGCGACCTCGAAACACTCGATGAAACTGATCAGCTTGCTTGACGGAAACTGACAACTCATGATCCACGTCAACCTTTTCTCTTTGCATGAACTGATGGAGGACCACTCGCAGGCTGTCCAAGATACGTGAATGAGGCACGGCGTTAAAGAAACCGGCAACGTCCTGTTGCATCAACAAGAGCTCCTCGTCAATCGGGGCCGCCTGCATGATTTTCCACATCTGCTGTAAGATATGCATCACCGATGGCAGGGCCTCTTTTCGCCCAAACACCCTGTCGACTACCTGCGTGATGATTGCAGCAACCACCTGAGAAATCTTACCATTCCACGCAGCGTTGTATGCTACGATCGGCCTAGCTCTGCACCAGCCTTTGCTGGCCTTGGGTAGCAGGTACGCCTTGGGAAGCGGCTTTGAAAGGATGAGTGCTTTTTGATTTCGTAGTTGCTTTCTGGCCTGCTTCAAAATCTGATCCCGAGTCACTGCCGCTGATTGAGGTAGCGGGTGAAAGATGGTGCCATCGAAGAATGTGCCAATCAGTAATAGGTGAAACTGCACGGGACATGCTATATGCAACTGCGTAGGGAAATGGTCCACTGGCAAGGTGACCCAATGTCGTATACAATGACTGGCTGCTTTGATCGCCTGGACAGATTCATCTTCTGCGCGCTGAAAGCTTGTCCAATGCTGACTAACGAACTCATCCCACTGTTCAACAGCCGACTTTGGCAATTTCCAAGCACTGGCATATTTTGTGACTTCTCGATGGTGGTGTCTGAGGAATTGCTGTTCGGACGCCCAAACTGTATCAGTCATGGAATGGGTAAGAACACTGTGAAACAAATTCGGATACAGCGTGACAGCATCTGTGGCTGAACAAAAGATATGACCCCATTTCGTGCGTGGCAAATCCTTGGCATGGTGACACGCGCACGCTGGTGACTTCGCATGTGTCCAATCCTTGATGAACTTTCGATGATTGAGGAGCACCTGACCCAATGTTCGGTTTTGAACTTCCACCATCTTGACCTTGGGTAAGTGGTACGGTGGGAACCATAGGGAATTGTGCTCCACGAAGCTCTTGATCCACGACCTAGCTGCTTGTAAGAAATTGCCAGGTCCTTGCAGAACCTTTAACATGCGATTCATAGGCGGTGTATCTCCACCTCGAAACCTAAGAGCGGAGGTCAGCAATGTGGTGGCTCTTGCTCTTTCCAGGGAATTCAGCATAGGTGTAAGTCGAACCAAATAATACAGAAAGGACAATGGAACATGTTGGGATCGCAAAAACCTGGACACAGTGAACTTCTGTACTGAATTGCTGCCAAGTTGTGATAGCAGTTGAAGGTGTGTGGACGCTTCCTGCAGATCAACTGCAGCCAAGTCCAGATGCAGTCGTCGAGCTGTGTCCCGACGCCGTCGATGCAATCGTCGGCCGGGAGCTCCCGTGGTAGTATTGTGATGTAGTATAGGTTTTACGGAAAAACCTAATTTCTTGAGCTCCTGGTGAACCCAAGGTGCATTCAGCCGACTGCGATGCTGTCGTATGAGTAGAGCTTCGTGAGCTCTGAGTTCATCAGCATCAGGGCATGTTTTGAGCACAAGCGGGTAGAACTGGTCATAGGTGCCGGTAACCAACCAGAATCTCAGCGCTGGTTCAAAGTAAGCTTGTCGCTCTCGTCTGATCTGAGTGAACTTGGAGTGGCGAGACTGTTCCCTTTCTTTGATGGTTTCATGAGTACTGCCGATATACCACTGACGTTGAGAAAAACTAATCCGCAAATATACAACAGATGGCTGAAAGTGCCAAGATCTAGGGTACTGCCAAGGGACTTGGTGATTGCACAAAACTTGGTGAAACGCTTTTGAAGCCTTGCTGAACGTCACTTTTGCGTAGGAGAAGAAACATAGAAAGAAGGCGCAGAGCCATTGGAAAGGGTACAAAACTGTGCCTAGATTAGGCAGTTGCCGCGCTGTACAAACTGCTGTACGCAGAAGCTGAAAAAGAGGCACGCGCAACCGCCTAAGCCAGCCCTTGTAGCTACGGGCCATCGTCTTGGTGGGGTCAGGCCCCCGAACTAGTCACTCCCTCAAGGCAGCACACGCTGCAAGCAACTTATTCATGAGCACCTCATTCTTGTTGAGATTGGCTGCTTGCTCCACTGTGGCTCCCCACGACACCAACAACGAGGCACGATCTGGGAGAACTCCTGCCGGTGCGTTCTTGATGAGGTCCTGGATTTCGGTCATCATGCTGGTGTGTCGCTGCTTGACGGTGGCATCTCCACAGTTGGCACGGATCCATCCTGCGATTGCCTGAGTGGATGTCCCTGAAAGGTTTTTCGACAAGTGTTTTGGCTCCTGCGCTTGACGTTCGAATGTCTGGAACCGATGCAGCAACGTGGCATGTTCCTGTGAGACTGTGGCAGGCTGCGGCATCTGGTTCTTTGCCGAAGGTTGGGCTGCTTGAGACGGTCCTCCTGCTGCCTTGAGTCGTTGGTTCTCTTCTTCCAGGGCCTGCATCCGGTTCAGGAGGTCCTGTGACTGTGTGACCGGAAGTTTGGCGACCATCATCTCGGCCGTTTCCTTCGCCACGAGCTCGGTGAGTTTGAATCGGTAGGACCAATCGTTGAGGTCCTTGACCCCGCTGTAGTTCACTGTGTCTGACAATCTCTGATGCGCACTCTTGATCAACTCATTGAGGTCCAGCTTAGGAACATGGTCTCGCATGCGCTTGCTGAGAAGAGAATGGAACACTGCTTCCTGGCGAGATCTGAACACCTCAACAGCCACTGGCTTGCCGTTGGCCACAACTCTCAAAGGCCATGACTCCAGATTCGAGTGGAGCAAAGCTGCTAATGGCACTTGATGAGTCGGCATGTTAGCAGTCTTATTGGCCCGCGAAAATTCTGTAGGTATAACATGTCGTGGCAGGGTGAAACCATAGGCAGTGTTGGCGTCCAGTTGGCGATGATCCTTCTTCCACGTGGATGGTACCTTGTAGGCGTCCTCCGCTTGGCTGCGGAGTAGATCTCTCCAGTTGTCCTCGGATCTGGCTCTTGCCTTGGAGCGAGCCTGCGTGGGCGAGGATGGCCGGCGAGGATGACGATGAAGAGATGAGCGCCTTGAACGAGACCTTCCCAAACTTAGTCGCCGGGGTCGCAACGGGCTTGCTCGTGACGCGTGCCTGGATCGGGGCGTCCGAGATCTGAAGGACGGTTCAGGTCGATCTTCACGTCGATTCGAGCTGGTGTTGCGGCGACGAGGATCATGTCTGGGAGATGGAGTGAGTCGACTCCGTCCTTCTCTGTCGATCACCCTGCTGCGGCTATCCGCAGTCCGGTGGGAGATACTGAAATCTCTATGGTATGAGCGGGACATGACGGGAAGGATCAACAACTCTCCCTTGTACGAGATTGAGCGAGACTGCACGAACATGAAACATCATGTTATGAAAACATGCTGTCAACACCAATGCTTCAGATGTAGACTTGCAGCATTCGTCACATCTCTCATTGTTTATTGCTCAAGTCATGCGGGTGAAACGACCAATGCTGACAATCAATGCCCAAACGCAGCATGAGGGCCCCAAAAGAAACTAACAGCAACTGCAAACATGCGTGGGTGAAACGTGCAAAGTCCAATCATGTATTGTCATGAACACCATGATACGCACATGCCTCTCATGCGGTGAAACATCAGTGAGACAGCGCCGTTACATGTGAAGAGGTTCTGGCATATGCACAATTTGCGCGAAACCATGGACATGCATGAATGCACGCAGATCTCCTAGAGGGACTCAGTGCACAATTCCAGCACGCGGGCCCCGAAAAGAAGTAACAGCAACTGCAATCATGCATGGGTGAAAACACGCGAAGTCCAATCGTGAACTATGCAATTATCATGAACACCATGACACGCATATGCCTCTCATGTGGTGAAACATCGGTGAGACCGCGCCGTTTCATGTGAAGAGGACCTTGCACGTGCCGAAATTTGCGCAAGACCATGAACATGCATGAGCGTATGCAGGTCTACGAGAGGGACTCCGTCCAAGTGGTCTTTCATTGAAGCACAACGTCCGAAACGGAAAACAGTGCAATTCATGCAGCACAGCAAAACTTTACAAGGCGCGAATGAACGCAAAGGCTGTGATATGAGAACATTCAGCATGCAGCGTCCACCTATGTACGCCTTTGCAGGAACCGTTGAGTGCAGTGATACGCTGCTCCTCATCCACGCATTGACTATCTGTGGAGTAGTGAGGCACTTTACTGAAGGTCTCACCAAGAACAACGACGCCTTGTAGCCCCTTCGGGGTTTTCAAGACCTTTCCTAGCACTATCGCTGCGGTGTCCTGTGCACGAGTAGAGTACGATCCAGGTGTGGCCTGCGCGTTGAAACCCATAGTGGGATAGCTGCCATCCGGGCCTTCGAGAATGCCTCCCCACGCTGAGGGCCTCAACAGCGCCTCTGCCGCAATGATAGAGGCCGATTTGATGGATGTGCCATGCGCAAACGTGAAGGTGTAGGAATATCCTCTGGCAGAATCCCGACTATCGGCTCCAAAAACATGCGGCAAGTATCCTGGATTGAACGGAACGATCAAAGCTCTGTAAACACGATTGATGTCAAGTGTTTCCGCGCGGCGCAGGTCAAAGAGGGCTTCATTGCCGCTGCTAACTATCACTTGCACCACAGCATCACAAATGGACGAAGTCACTTGCGGATCCAGCTGAAGCAAATGGTCTTTGATGTCTTGAGCTGCCTGCGCACTCACAGTGTCAAGCTTCACTCTCTCTGCTGGCTGCAATTCTGCCCAACTGCGCACATTACGTGTTGGCAAGATTCTCCTGGCACTCTGCAGAACATCGTCGGGCAGGCCTTTTTGGCCTTGTGTTGCACTTGATCCGGCACGTGGTGGACCAGGGGGGCTCCTGAACTTGGAATTCGTCGCAGGCGGCGGTTGATTCATCGTCTGACCTGGCACACCAGCGCCATCCTGATTTGACATCCATCTTGTTGGAGGATATGGCGAGATTTGAGCTGTCCATGGAAACGCGTGTTGTGACGCACATGCAAAACCAGGTGAAACTGCTTGCTGCAACGCAGGACCCTGCTGCACGTTCGTATGCGCCATTGCTGCACCTCCGAGCTGTACCGGTGAGGCTGCAATCCCAACCGGAATCTGCGACGGTTGCCCGACTTGCCCCGGAAACACCGGCGGAGGTGGGGGTGGGAAAGCAGGCGGGGGAGGAAGTGGTCCTGGAGCCAAGGAAGGAGGAATCAACGGAGGAGGGCCGGGAAGGGGTAGCTGTTCTGGAGGTCGTGTCGCTGCGGCCCCGCCCTTGGACGACCTATCTTCCCGACCTGTTGACCATGCGCCAGCCTGCCAGTCACTTGACCTCCACCTTTTGGTAGATCCGGCTTGATCATGAGCAGTCTGGTGCCACCACTGGTCCTGTTTGGACCGTGATTGCCAAGAGTCGCGACTGTGATGACTCTGCTGCCAATGGTCCTGCTTCTGCCAGCTGTCATCAGTCCACGAAGATGATTGCTGCCAAGCATCTTGACTATCGGACGTTGTCTGGTTCAGCTGCCAATCGGAATCACCTGGGTTGTCCATGCTGACTGCCTTAGGTTGATGAGCCAGGGTGGCCGCTGCCTCCTTCTCACGACGCTTCCGCTGTTTTCGTTGCAGCCGATGTAGCAGCTCTTCTTCACTGGTTGAGCTCATGGCTGAATCACAACTTGCTAGTAAAACACCGCAGAAAATTTGAACCAAAGTTGCTATAGTAGATCAGCATCCGAGTTGTCTAACCGCACGCGCAGCAATCTGTTTAGTGGCCAGCGGCCTCCTTTGTGACCTAACGGTCTTCTCTGACCCGAAGGTCTACTTGTTGACAAGGCGTGCAAACACGTCGATTCCTTGGCCCCCCCACGTGGAGAGGAGGCATTCCTCGAACATCGGTGCCATCGGGGCTTCTTATGGCTCGCCAGGCCTCCTGCTTCCTTGATCCCTACCCACGAGGGGACGGGCACACCTACGACACAACCGGGCCGGTAGGCTTGCACCAGAGGTGCTCACACTGATGAGTGCGATTGCTGCTGACATTTGACATAGTTTCCAACCCCCATCTGCCATACTGTATCATGTAGTGTCATAGCTAATGATGTAGGGTGAAACTGGTGTAAGTCATGTGTAACTCTGCTCATTGTTCACTGTCAGAAAGCGCAAGCGCCCCAACTGAACAGTCTGAAATCTTGTCTATGTCAATGTCTGAGGGCCCGACTTTGCACACTCATTTCTATAAATCGAAAAGGCTCCCGACTTTCGAACACATGCAGGTACGTGGATTCCGCGTCCGGAATCCATATCACAGCCAATGGATAGGTGTCTTCGTTGGCACCTGACCTATCCATGGCCCAGGTGCCCCCTGCTATTCAAATTGGATGGTTGAGAATTCGAGGCCGCTTGGGAACAGCGGGTGCAGACACACATCCTCTCGCGGGAGAGTAGTTTAAGCCAAGTACATTCCAATGCCGGGCAACTGCAAGTCGCCGCTTTTTCTATCACGGTCCCCATTGCCTAATGGGGAATAGGCCTCTGTAAAGCTGCCAATTGTCCACGCTCTGTTTGGGGTACATGCCGAAGGTGAAGGTCTGTAGATTACTGTGAGGCTGCAAACTTTCCATGCTCTGCTTGAAGTATATGCACCATAACACAAACCTAAAACACACAAACCTAAACCACACAAGACCGAAAGGGCGGGGGGAAGAGGGAGGGGGAGGAAGGACGAAACGGGGCGAGAAGGCGGGGAATGCAGGAGGAGAGGAGGGGAAACCGGGAAGAAAGCAAAACCTGGAGAACCATGGGAAGGGATCAAGCATATATGAACCCGGCGCAAATGTAGCACATGCCAAAGATGAAGGTCTGTAGGTCGCTTTGAAGCTGCACACTTCCCGCGCTCTACTTGAAGCGCATGCCGAAGGCGAAGGTCTGTAGGTCACTGTGAAGCCGCACACCTTCCACGTTCTGTTTGAAGCGCACGCCGAAAGAAAGCAATGGATGAACCCTTCCTGCAGCGGTTGCAGGTGTCACACACACACACACACACAGAGAGACCCGTTTTTCAGGCAGGTTGTAGCCGGAGCTCAGCCATCTAGGAATCGCAGCGGACTGGGCACGTGGACGACAACAAATTGCGAAGTCAGGAAGCTACGAACATTTTCTTAACCTAGAACATAAAGCCCAGGTGACATTCCATCACACGGCAGAAGCTGCGAAACTCCCAAACCCCTAAACCCTGGACCCTAGACCCTAAACCCTAAACCCTAAACCCTTTAAAAAAAACCTAAGCCCAGTGGCAGGATCGGCTTCCGAGCCCTTGGGCCGCAGCGGGCGCCATGCGAGAGGCATTGCTGACCTATATCCTCCCTTGGGTATTAGTTTTATTTTTGTTTCCACAAAACCCAATAAGGGACATTAAAAATAGTATTTTCTATTCTGGTATATAAAACCCAGTAAGGGACATTTAAAATTGTATTTTCTATTATGGTATATAAAACCCAATAAGGGACATTAAACATAGTATTTGTTTATTATGGTATATGAAACCCAAGAGGATATTAACAATTCTATTTTGATGAAGGTTCTAAGGGAGTATAGTGACGTGGTAGGGGTCACGGTATAGGGGGTTTTCCGTCAAACGCCGCAGGGCCGTGGGGCTTAGGGGGTTTAGGGTTTAGGGTTTAGGGTTTAGGGTTTAGGGTTTAGCGAAGGGGCGATGGCTTTCTGACTGTCCTTGGGTTTGGTTTGAGGTGGTTCTGGTTTACTCGACTTGGTTTTTGCAGCTTCAATTGTTCTCTTCTTGGCTTTGCAAGTTGGGCTTCGTTGTTGATTGTACTAAACCCTAAACCCTAAACCCTAAACCCTAAACCCTAAACCCTAAACCCTAAACCCTAAACCCTAAACCCTAAACTCGGAAAGGGTCCGGGAGGGTTTGTCGTGGCTGGAAGGTTTCGGAGGTGGTGCGTCGAGAAGTGGCTGGCCAGGTGAAGGGCTGCATCTTTCCATCGTTCAGACGTTGTGTTCAGTTCGCTTTGCTTGTGGAGCAGAGTCGGCCCCTCATGCATGCCTCGACCCCCAAGTTTAGGGTTTAGGGTTTAGGGTTTAGGGTTTAGGGTTTAGGGTTTAGGGTTTAGGGGAAAGCCTTCAAGCACCAAACTGGACAGCCTTTGCAGGCCATGTTGGGGCGTCGCAGCAAGGTGTGCAAAACACCCGCCTTTGTAAGGGTTTAGGGTTTAGGGTTTAGGGTTTAGGGTTTAGGGTTAGGGTTTAGGGTTTAGGGTTTAGGGTTCAGGGTACACACCATGTGGGGGTGTTTTTGGGAGTGTTCATTGTCATGTGTTTTCGGTTTTTGAGGGTCTCAGGCTTTCGAGCATTTTCCCCAGGACCTGGGGAAGATGCTTGTGCATGCTCCGTTGGTGTCTTCCGGCTTCGGCGCTGAGATGCCTTCGATCGAACATGGAGGGCTTATGGCAGATTAAGATTTTTTTGAAGTTATGCAAGCTCCGCTAGTATAGATTGTAAAAAAAACATGAGGTGGTGAGGGGTCTGGCGCGCGTCAGAAGCAAGTTCGTGATCTTGTGTTTTGTTGGCCGCTTATTCCGCCTGATTAAGCAAAGTCTAGACCACCTACTACAGCTGTAAATGTTAAAATGTGCATCGCAACATCGGAGACGGGCCCAGGCATATGTAGGCTGGGATTGTTGAGGGTCGTCCAGAGCTGCACACGCTCTGCACCTGAACCCTCAACCCTACACCCTAAACCCTAAACCCTAAACCTCAAACCCCCACACCAGCATCACGTCTGCTGCGCAGCTGCTCAAGCTTTCCAGGCGCATTGTTTTTTCGCCGGTTTGTGTGGGTTTAGGGTTTTGGGTTTAGGGTTTAGGGTTTAGGGTTTCTGTGGCTGTTGGGCTCATTATTGGCGGAGGCGCCGAAGCCTGAGTTGACGAACAAGGTTTGTGGTCAACATGCTCGCCCCTTGACAAGTCTTGTCTCACCACACTGGAGCAAGCTCTACAAACGGAATGAAGTCTGACATTCTAAGCCATAAAGATCAGACCCGATCATGCGCTGGCCACAGCCCACCGTATGGGTAGTTCCTTAAATTAGGGTCCTCCTTAGTTCTAGTACAAAGGGACCTTAATCTAGAGTACTAC